ACTTGAAGAGCAAGAATCCCCAAATTCAAATGGATAAATGAGAAAAGACCCAATATCATTGTGAAATTTCAGAACATCAACAACAAAGAGAAAATACTAAAATCTTCAAGTGAGAATGAGAGAGAGGAAAAAGGGTCCTATAAAGAAATGAGAATCAGAATGACATTGGATTTCTCATCAGCAGCACTGGATGATAAAACACAGGGAACAATACTTTCAAAGTTCTAGAGGAAGACTGTGTTCAACCTGGAATTGTGTATCTTGCTAAAGTAGCATTTAAAACAATTATATGGGTAAAATAAAATCATTTTCAGAAATGCAAGAATTCAGAAAATCTACTTACTATACATCCTTTCTTAGAAAGTTAACTGCGGATGTGGTCCAGCAAAATACATTGAGAAATCAGGAAGAAATAAATCATGTGATTCTAGATAATGAATTCAATTGAGAATTCAATTCTGTACATCATATTTAGAAAGTAACCAGTCTAAAAGCAGCACGTTGTAGTGCTCAAGGAGAGGGGTCCTAAAAAAGAGGGGGAGGTTTGATAGATTACTTGTCATGATAGAAAATCTGAAAAAACAAAACACAGAAAACCAGGAACAAAATTAAGACAGTAATTCTAGGAAAAATCAGACTGTTGAATATAAAAAAAGATAACTTGGTGAAACAAAAACAAGAAAGGAAATATAATCAGAGTCTATGACTTTGTTATGCAGCAAACAACTTTTACAAAGTCAGTGATTTAAAACTATATTGCTTTAGTTTTAGGTCAACCTATAGTCAAAACACAGAAGATTTAACTATGGTTATGAAAAGATTAACACTGACAATCTAGAAGTAAAAGTACAGAGGAGAGAGCCTGGGGGATGGAGGTGCAGGAAGCTGTTTGAAAAGTTGAAGTGATACTAATATTCTCATTTACCATCTGGAAGTTAGCAGATCTTATTTGTATTTGAAAGATCAGGAAATGATTCAGTAGATGTATTACTTAAAGGTACAAAGGCAAGATGTAGAAGAAAAATTAAAAAGCAGGTCATTAGTATGGTGATATATAATGAATGTATAGAAATTGCAGTACATCCCCTTGCAGTCAATAAAATGGATGTCACTTAGATATAGGAAAATGTTTGAGATACTTTAAACAAAAAAAAGCAGACTATAACATTTTAGTTATAAAATGTTCATTTAATTATTTCACGATTATAGGCTTATGGGTCACTTTCTATACTTCATTCAACACATTTTCTGTAGTTCATCCATGTAGAAGGTGTATTGGTTGTTTACTGTGTTTTGGCACTATGCTAAGGGCTGTGAGTATTGAATATGGAAGTTTATAAAGACACTCAATCTCTGCCACACAGCTTACAGTCCAGAGAGGAAGATACATATTGTACCAGTAACTATTTAAAAATGTGAACTCTATGATGGAGGACATTCATGATGTTAGGAGAGCACTGAGCACAGATACTAAACTTAATCTAGGAATCTGAAAAAGAGTCCTTCAACCAATGACTTTTAAGTTTTAAATAAGAGAGATTTGTTTTATTTATGTTTTTTTTTTAAAGCAGAGATTCAAAATAAAAGCATATTGTTATTTCAATTACATAAATGTATGTGCTCAGGAAAAATTCTCAAGGGACACAAAATATTAACTGAGATTATCTTTCAATTTTGGAATCTGAGGAATTTCATATTTTTCTTTATACTTTTCTGGTTTTTCCAAGTTTCTACAAAGAGGGTGAGTGGCTTTGATAATAAAAGCTATTGTTACTGGTGAAGCAGTTAGGTATTTGTGCTGTTTGAGTTCCTTTCCCTAGTCCTACCTATGGAAGCTGAAGGCAGTTACTAATCTATCTGAAGCACAAACAGTTACCAAAACATCTGTCTACCCTAGGCATTTTTAAAGACTGTCATTGGAGATGGTAGATTCCTTTCAACAAACGTTTCAGTTAGCAAACTTGGAGACTGTGTTTGCCATGAATTTTGTTAATAGAGGCACATGTTGGGATACTCCTTGAAAGTGCAAGGAGATGCAGATGATAGGGATAAGCCCAGCAGTTACCTATTATTTCTGATGCTTCTTTATTTATTGGGCTACTGTGCCATGTCTTTTAAAATTTAACTATATCCTATAGTATGTTTTTATTGAAAAAAATGTGGTTTAAAATGTAAAATAATCCCTGTTTTTATGCCTATGTTCCTTGGGTTGTGTTTTTAGGTTCTAAAAGCATTTAAATTGGTTCTCCAATGACTAGTTATTCCTACATGTAGGATCGAATCTATCAGTGGTGATTTTTATGGACTTGGAAATTTAGTTTACTGCACATATAAATCCTCTGCATCATATTATTTCTCCAATCACACATTTATATCATTATTTTGAGAAACACATAACTCTGTATTTTATCCAAAGATCTTTTTTCTCCAACATGAACTAAGGTAGAAGATCAAATTAATGCATCATAAGTTGGCAATACATTTAAAAACCTCATGTTATAACTACAAGATTCATCTGAAAGGTAAATTGCAGTGTGTGCACTCAGAGATTTAAGATCAGGTGCCAGGGCATCAGCATGTCCAGAAAATCTCTATGTTCTCATGTCTTAAGAAATTTATTAATATAAGGAAAGTCTAGGATTGGTGTGTGAATGTGTCGCTTTATCTAACCTCATCTTCTCACTTCTATTTGTTTGTGTGTCTCTGTTAGAAAAAGGGGGAGGTTCAAAGGGTATTGTTATATTACAGAAATAGTACAGGCTGCTAGTCAAAAGAATTGGATTCTAATTCTGACTTCACCATTACCTAGGTAAATCACTTAATCTCTCTGGTTCTCACTTAAACCAAATGATCTCTTCAAGTCATTTCTAATGTAAATATCCAGTGATTTGATGAGATCTTACTTTTGGATAAATCACAAGTAAGGGCTACTCTGCCCAGTTCCTCCTCCTCTGGGATCCAGGACTTTTGTGCTCACCCCTATTCAGAGCCACTCTGTCCCCCACCAACTACGTACTCCAGGAAAATCTCACAGCAAGAATTCAATAGTGATGAGGGAGCTATACTACAACAACATCCTTCATATGGCCCAAAGGAGAGAGATCTGAAGGGGTATGGGGTTAGTCAGAGTCCAAAACATGTGTCTTCTCTGGAGGAACCTCTCAGGCCTTCCCAGCTAAACTCGTGGTCTTATCCCTTTCCTGGTTCTTCTTCTGTATCCATTTACCTGAACTTCTTCCAAATCTACTTCCACCTCCAGATTGACCTCTAAGCTGATTCTGCCATTGGGGACAGTGAAGGGGTCATAAAGGAAAGTAAGCAAAAAAAGTTAAGATCCATTCAAAGGGAAAAAAGCTCACAATAACAAAAACCAAGGTTCTGTATGCCCCCTATCTACATAAAACACTGCTTTCCTATAGAAGCTCAACCATTTTCTATATAATTCTGATTTTCTATTAACAACCTACATCTTTCCCAGAAGACACATTTCTTTGTTCTCATATGTACATTTCATCTAAAAGTACATTCCATAGCACAATGATCCAACTATGGGCTGAATTCTCTGGAAACTGCCAGCATTTCTCTTTCTACCTTCCTTCTGTTTCTAAGAGCAGTTGTGGATTAGTATAGGGCTTCCAAAATGGAAGTTGAAATATGTATTGCATCATTTGTCATGTAGCTACAAAGGAAGCAGCAAAGCTAACCAGAAATGAGCAACAGGAAATTTCTGATAAAGAACTCATGGTTATCTAGAAGCTGAATTAAATCACAGACACCAGAGTTTGGAATTGCATTCTGAACTACAAAATTAGAGGTAACTGCCTCCTACTTACATGATAGTGTCAATTTAATTTGAAATTTGAGTATGGTTTTATAAGCTTAGCATTCCATTCTGTGGTAGTGCAGAGAGCATTTTTGTATTTATCAGGTTTCCATGCATTTAAATTTGGAAAAAGAGATGACAAAAAAAAAAAAAAACGAAGACAAAAACAAAAAACAACAATCTGGGTATCCCTGATGTGGGTACTATGATGGATGTTGATAGTATTTAGAAATAAAATTAATGAGATTACCTTTTTATGGGCTCAATGTTCATCAATGAAAATATGTAACTGATGAATTGAGCCCTGTTATCAGGCAGTTTAAGCCTTTCCCAGCATAGAATAGGAAGATAGAATGGATGCTTCTCTCATTGGGTTTGCATCAAGTAGACCAAATGAAGATTGTATAACTGATGCAACTCTTACTTTTCTCTCTCTAATTTGGGAATAGAAAAATCCACAATTAATTTTGGATTCTGACAGGAGAGACAAAGGAGGAGCAGTGAAGTTCTGGGGGAATTTAAAATCTTGCTGCATCCCCAACTGACCCTAGTTTGGGCCACTAGGGCCCAAGATAGAAGCTGCTCCTGCCAATCATTTTTAAAAACTTTAGCCTCATTTCAAGAGACATTGGTCTTGCTTCTGCAGACTCGTAATTCCTTTATTTGCTCTTGGGAAGAAAAAGCAGGTAGAGGCTTAAAAGCTAGATATCCCTACTACCCTTGTTCATCATTCTTAACCAGGGAGAAAGCTGACGGGACACTTTGTCTCTAACAAAGGGATATTTTCAGATACTGAGGTGTTGCCAGAGACAACTGGTCAGAGAAGTTAGGAGGGAGAGGAAAGAGGAGGATCCAGATTCAACCCTTATAACTGGTTGCTGCTTTCCCCATAAGACTGTGCATTGATAGACCTCCTGTCCCTCGCATTTCCTTTTCCCTCCCCTCTCATACGATGTCTCTTTCTGACCCCAAATTTGACCTTTCATAGTAAGGGGTCAGTATGTTTTCACACTTGGGAAATCTCATTCAAGAATTCTTGTCAATGGACAAGTCATAAGAAGCCCTTCCATTTTAGGGCTCGTTGACGTCACCAAGGAGGCGATAAATATCTGTTGATATAATTGGATGTGAGATTCAGTGTTGAGATAGCAAAACTCTGCCCCTCGTTCTCTGGCAGGGCCCTATGATTTATGCAGGAGCAGAGGCAGCACGCAATCGAGCTGTCAAGAGAGCGTCAGCTTATTAGGCAAATGCTGCGTGGTTTCTGAAGAGGGTCGACGCTATAAAATCCCACTCCAGGCTCTGGTGTGGAGAAACTCAGAGCCCAAGTCCGTTGAGAGACTGAAGAGAAAGATAAGAGGTGAAGAAAAGAGAGTGAGGACAGAAAGGAGAGGGAAGAAAACCCCTGAAAAAGCCCGGAGACGTTCCTCTGCAGAGAGGCGGCAGCGCCCCACTCACCTGCAGAAGCACCTCAGAAGGTAGGGAGTGCCTAGACGGAACCGCGCCTCCAACTTTGCATTGCCTGAGCTGCCACGGTGTGCGCGGCAGAGCCGGGTGTCCCTGTGAGGGCATGTGTGTGAGTGTGAGTGTGTGTGCGTGCCTGTGTGTGTGCTGACTGTGCCTCAAGATTCCGGTAGTAGCCGGCATGTGTCAAAAGCAAACTTAGACGGCTGCTAATCATTCTTGGAACTGCCAGTTACTCCTCGCTGGCATTGTAGACCAGTCCCCGCCATCGATCCCGACCCCTGAGAGAAGGACGCAAGGGCTGGGATGGAGAAAGAGGAGGACGAGGCAGCAGTTCTGAATTTGGAGGACGACGCGGAAACATCCGGAAAGGGAGGGGTGGGGGCGGGGGAGATCTAAAATTTGTAGATCTTCTCTAGAGCTCGGGGAATCAGTTTTGGGAATCGTTAGAAGGGGGACTCAGAGACCCTCCGAGGGTCTCGGAAGAAGAAGGGTCCCTCCAGCCTGACGAGGGGCTGAGCTTGGTGCTGAGCTCTGTAGTAGTCCCTTTCCTGCCGCCCCCCATCCCTCCAACTCTAGAAGTCCTAGTTCGAGAGCTTCAGCACCGCGGACAGTGCCTGCCCGAACCCCTGAGGCACGTCTGTGGGTGTCATGTAGGAGGACCCCGAGCGCACCTCCCATTTGAGCTAAACTCTGACCAACTCTTTCTCTCTCTTCCCTTCTCTCATTCCGCTCTCCGCGCACCTCTCTGCCTCAGCGAGCGCCCCTAACATGCGGCTGCCGCTGCTCTTGTCCGCGGGCGTCCTGCTGGTGGCTCTCCTGCCCTGCCCACCATGCAGGGCCCTCGTCAGCCGGGGGCCCATCCCCGGCGCCCGGCAGGTGCCGCAGCACCCCCAGCCCATGGATTTCTTTCAGCTGCCGCCGCAGCCCCAGCAGCCCCAACAGCCTCAGGCTCGGCCCGTCCTGCTCCGCATGGGGGAGGAATATTTCCTCCGCCTGGGTAACCTCAACAAGAGCCCCGCTGCGCCCCTCTTGCCAGCCTCTTCACCTGTCGCTGGCGGCAGCGGCAGCCGCCTTTCGCCGGACGAGGCGGCCGCCAACTTTTTCCGCGCGTTGCTGCAGCAGCTGCCGCTGCCCCGGCGCCCGCTCGACAGCCCCGCAGGTCCCGCCGAGCGCGGAGCGGAGAACGCCCTTGGCAGCCGCCAAGAGACACCGGAGAGGGAGAGGCGATCCGAGGAACCTCCCATCTCGCTGGATCTCACCTTCCACCTCCTCCGAGAAGTCTTGGAAATGGCCAGGGCCGAACAGTTAGCGCAGCAAGCTCACAGCAACAGGAAACTGATGGAGATTATTGGGAAATAAAACGGTGCGTTTGGCCAAAAAGATGCAGCATTTAGCACAAAAAAGTTAAAAAAAAAATACAGTATTCCGTACCATAGCGTTGCTCTGATACCATTTGTTTATTTTTTTATAGCTTGAAGCCTAGACGATATACAGCAAGAGAGCCTATACTTAATTAGCATGCACAAAGTGTATTCACGTGCAGTAACAGCAACAAAATGTTATTTGTATTGTCTACTTTTAGTTTCCATTTCCAGGTGTCTTTAATGGTGTATAGAAAGTGTAGACCCAGAAGGAAATGTTTTGAAGCAGACAGAAGTCACCCAATTTATTTTGTTGTGGTCTGAGCCAAAGAGAATGTCACTCTCTTGGGTGGGTGAAACAAAATCTGTAAGCTCTTTGAATCAACCTTTCCTTGTAAACGTTTCAGTAATAAAACATCTCTCCCAATCCTTGGTCCATTTGGTTGTGTAAAAGAATGTTGAATATTTATATTTTTAATAAAAGCTGCAAAGGTAATCATGACTTTATTTTTTCTTTTCAATGTTCATAGAGTAAAACTCTCAGCTCCTGGCTTCCTTCACCCTGACTTCAGCACAAGAGAAAACAAAACTCCTTGCATTAATTTCCTACTAAAAATACATACATACACCAGTGGCTTACACAGATACTGCAATTGCCTCTCTGTACCTCAGATTACTCCTCTGAGGTTAAGTTAAATAATTTAGGAAGTTACTTCCAGCTTTAAGACTTGGTAATTCTATGAATGGAAGATCAATTCATAATGGAAATAATAATTAACCCTGATTAACTATAAGTTGTTAAATAATTGTAGAGGGCAGGAAAAGAGGAAAGGCAAAGAGGAGAAGGGTTCACAGGGCATTCCTCCAAAGTACAGGGCCAACACTGCTTATTTTTGTTTTTGTTTGTGGTGTGAGAAAGACTCACTTTATCAAGCTACTACTTTGGTACCATAAAATATAGTTTTTCTATGCTATTTTCCAGTGCCTACTTCTAATAGGAGAAACTTGATAGCTTCTCCACTTGAAGCAACAAATTTAATTGCTATGAAATGGCGCTTGGGAAAATGTTTCATATAAAAAATATTTTGACTTTAATAACTTCACAAATGCTCTTCTCATTTATGTCTATACCAATCCTAATCACTGTAGTTCTTAAGCATATAAACTACGCATTTCTAAAACGGAACAGGCACATCCAGTTAGTTTTACAATGCATTTATCTTTGGTAGTTGGGTTATAACTTACAAAATTCAATTGAATATTTAATGCTCCAAAATTAATTTGGATGTACGAAGATGCTTCTTCCCTTGGGACCCTTTGAATACACTTGCTAATGTACTAATAAGATCACATGAAACACTGAATAAGTCATTATAAGACTAAGTTGTTAAAAACAGCATTTATTTAAGAGTTGATACAGAATAAAGTAATACTTATGTTTTGAAGGAGGCATTATGGTGGTGATTTAAATATATATATGTATTTTAAATGTGTATTGTGTGTGTATATATATTTAAATACATGCAGTTATTCTACAGTTCACCAGGCTGGTGCCTCGGTAGGTACATGAGAAAGTAGACAGTTCCTGTTGGAAATTCTTTTTCAATTTAAGTGCTTGATAGCTGCACATCTACCTTAGATTAGAAAAATGTCACCAGAAATGTCCTAGGCCTTCAACCTTCTGGACTATGAAAGTGTCACCAGAGTTAAGGAACATTTCTGGATATACCTCCAGTGACATCTGTTATGGAAAAGAGGAAACCTTTGTAAAATATTTCATATCTTTGGTCAATGATTTACCTTTTGTCCATATATTGATAAATTAGTCACTTCTGAATTAACACTGAATTTCACTGACCAACTGCATTGTTAAAGAAGAAAGAGAGGAAGAGCTACTATGATATTATAACAAAAGCCAGTGCCTATTAAAGACAAGAGTGTAGTGCTACACTTTTTCAACACTTGCCACTTGTTACAGACGCACACACACGTATCACACCTACATACTCTTCATCATGTTTCCACACAATAAAAGATTTGCATAAGATCAAGTTTCTTTTTTCCAATACTTTCGGCAACTATTTTCTCAAAATTGTTTTCCCTCTGGAAAGTCATCTGGAATTAAAGGGTTTGTTTTTGTTTTTGTTTTTGTTTTTTTGCAGAAATCCTGTTCAGAGGTCCCTTTCATCACCTGCATCATATTAATTTCATCTAGGTTCCCTGCTGCTGGTGTGCATCTCAGCCAGGCAGACCAAGGGCAGCAGCTGGAATGAACATCATTCATTCAGGGAGTTCAACCAGGAAAAGGAGAAGACATGACGAGCTGGCTCAGAATCAGCTCCATTCCCACTCCCTGAAGCTGCGGCCTGTACCTGGAGGAGAGGGTCCTCAAATCCAATCTGCAATAGAAGAAAATCTGGATCAGAGGAAGAAGAGCCTAGTCCTTTTGGGTTGGTCCAGTCACTTTTCTACTCAGGAGAAAGGATAATAATAATAATTATTATATAGAACATAATTATTATTAGGGATGGAAAGCAAGCTCAGGCTGTCTTGGCTATGGCCAAGAGCCATGAAAATAATTCACGCTCATGATCCAGAAAGGGGCAGCAGTAACACATGCAGTAGAGGGAAGTTCTTGGGAAAGAGTCCAGGCTATTTTTTTTTAAGTCCACTTGTATATGATTTACTGAGATGAAAGTGGCATTGAACTAATAGGAATTTGCCTTTAGAAAAGTCCGCAGTGTACAACATGATGACAATAGTTAACACTGCTGTCTGACATATTTGAAAGTTGTTAAGAAAGTAGATCCTAAGAGTTTTCACCACAAGGGAAAAAAACCATTTTTTTTCTTTTTGGAGTCAGTATGAGATAATGGATGTTAACTAAACTTATTGTGGTCATCATTTCATAATATATGTTAAGTCAAATCACTTAAAACTTAAACTCACACAGTGCTGTATATTATATATGTATATGTAGGTAGTTTTTTTTTTTTTTTTGCAAAGCTGTAGGCTTAGTTTTGAGCAAATCATGAGTGAAAGGACTTCTTTTCTCTAGGCAATAACATCTAATGACATCAAAATTTCTAAAGAGATATCTATCTTTTATAGAAATCAGGCAGATACCATTTGTGATTTTGAAGTAATTGATTCATCTAATCTCATAAGTGAAATTAATTTCTGTTGTTCGGAGTTTAAAAAATAATAAATGGGGGACAATCATAAAGAAGTCTTGCTGAAATGCAATTTGATGTATATACTCAGATTCTTTACATTTAAAGGTACTCTAACAAACACAGTTCTTCCTAGAGCTACCGAAGACAGGCTAACATATTCTGATGACTTCACTTGTAAAATTATCCCACTGGATTAGAATGGCACTGATTTCAAAGCAATGAGGTAGGCACATGCATTCAGTGCAGAAGCCTGGGTGATTTTGTGAAGCTGCTGTATGAATGGACGATAGAAAGCTGGCATGACAAAGCAGAATTTTGGTAAGTATGCTGTGTTGTTGCCACTTGAAATAGTTTCGAGTGAAAAATGAGTGCTTTTCCTGCACCTTCCCAGATTTTACCCTAAATATAAGCTTTGGGGTAATGTTTCAAGTTTAGTAAAATTGTCCCAAGTCCTTATGGTTTAGGGATTATCCTTCCAACTGCCATGTTGTTCCTCGATAGAAAGTTTAGAAGGGCCATGAAATCATACTTAGTCACAGTAGAATAAAACCAAAGCAAGTAGTTTTCCATGAAGGAACAGTTGAGACATCAAGTGAAATTGGGCTTTTTAAAAAAGACTGCCATTATGCTATTAGATCCTATTGGTAATAAGTTAGATACCTCTGTGTCCTTGAAGTTGATGCAGAAAAAACAAGATCCTGATAGAATCCTGTGCCTTTTTATGCACATCAAACTATTCTCTTCCCAACTGTAGTCACTTTAATTAATCCTAAAAACAAAAACCAAACCAAACCAAAATAAAAAAAAATAAAAAATAAAAAACAACCAAATAAACCCCCAATCCAAGTGATCTGGACATATCAGTGATCTGTAGAAGACCCTTTTCTACCCATTTTATGGGAGTAAATACCAAATTCTGCATAAACATACAGACCATGAGTGTGCATTTTATAGCCTCTTTTGAAAGCAGTCCCTAATCTAGAGGAATCTTCCATGACAGCTGTTCTGAAATATCTAAAGGGCAAAACTAGTTGGGTAAGGTATTTTCTGTAGAGGGCTATAATCTTTGCAGAACTGCTGGTGGCTAACAAACCATTTGGTACTGCTTTGGGGATTTGTATATATTTTTGTGCTTTCCTGTACTTGAGATGAAAATCTATCTTCCATTGAAAACGTTCTAGCTGTTAGTACCTGACAGCCTTCAAAACTTGGTATCAAGTCATTGAGGTTGCTCCTTTTACATCCCCATGTTTTCATGCAGTTATTAGATTTCCTTCTAAACGATGTGGACAGATGCTGTCTTTCAGAGAAGGCCAGTGCCAGAGTGGGTGCCAAGAGCAGAGATTTATCCTGAGTATTTTCAGGTGACTACACCATCTCCTTGGTCTTGTTTATGTAAACTTGGGGACCCACCAACCATCTCAGCAAAGAAGTTCTATGCCAAAAATGGTAAGCCTGGCATAGAATCCGAGACTAACCACTTACTAGCTGTATGACTTGGATAAGTCAGTTAACCTCTGACTTTAAAAACTAAGGTTTTTCTTTTTGTAAAATAGAGATGAGACCCTATCTCACAAGGCTGTTGTAAGTACTGAATAAATAAAGTAATACACCTAAAGCACTTTGCACATGCCTCACTTATATTAAGTGTTTTAAAAATATGCATTTCCTTCTTCCCTCTTCCCCCCTCCCTTCTCCTCCCTCCTTCCTTCCTTTCTTCTTACATTAGTGAAGAGGCTCCCCTACCATGTAGAATCACCTGGGGACTGCTTATGAGGAACTATATACAATAGCAGTGACCCCCAGTAAGGAAAGATGATTATATTTGCAATGCTTATCTTGTCAGAATTGGTTATTATAGGATTTAATTCCTGTGGCATATTGTAATCATGATTATCCATGACCTGCCCAGTGTATCTCCAAGTAGCCCAACTTTATCTATGGCTCTTTCCTAAAGGAAGAATGAGCTAAAGATTTAGAAACCTCCTTTCTCTAAGTACAGCCCATGAAATCATAAGCAGACATTTTTCCTATAGCCTTCCTCAAATAGAATTGTTTATATGTATGCCTTTAAATTTTCCAAATGCTAGTTCTCCTCCATCACAGGAAATGCTATTTCTTGGGAATACAGATGTTCCATGAAGCTGAACAAAGGACAGAAAATGACAAGCACTGAACTTCCCTACCTGCTTTTGAGTTTGTCCTGCATTTCAGTCTACTTTGAGATGTATAAAAAGATGAAGAAAGGATTATTAGTCCCTTATTACGTCTACATTTTACACATTTTTCTCAAGTGACCAAACAAACTTACAAACCTCACCTAACACTATGCTGTAGCACCATGGGACTTCAGATAATTTGAGAAATGAATTTTAGTCATAATATACAAGCAGGAAATGGACTAGGGAGGCAGCATTTTCCCTCTCTCAGCTACAAGACGCAATTCAGTCAAGATCCACAAAAGACCATAGAGGGGAGTGACATACATTTGCTTAGGAGAAAGACTATTTTTCTTAGATGAACTTGATCAGGGATGCCGGGTATTCATGAACCAGATCCACGCAGAAACAAAATCTTTTCCTTGGATTTTTTTTCCTGTTACTATCAAAGGTTTTTTGAGAGGAAAAAAAATAATGTCAGATTATGGTACAAGGGTTTTGCTCTGTAGAAGAGTAGGGTGATGAGAGGTTCTTCCACCCAAAGCTGCATGATGTGCTAGCATCATCCTTGACAAATGATGTCATCTAGAATCATTTGTTATTGGTGGGGATTAAGGAGCATGCATTCTTCCAAAGGCTTGTGGACATCTGTCTCTGTGCACAGGACAGTTCCAGGTTATGGACAGTGTTTACTTGGTCTGAACTGTGTGGCTGAGTGGTATTTTGACAAAAACTCGAATTAGTTGCAACATTAAAAAATCAGGAGCAAGGATGTGGAGAAAGAGAAGTCCTTGTGCACTGTTGGTAGGAATGTAAAATGGTGCAGCTGGTGTGGCAAACAGTGTGGCAGTTCCTCAAAAAATTAAACATAGAATTACCACATGATCCATCAAGTCCACTTTTGGGCATATACCCAAAAGAGTTGAAAGCAGAGACTCATACAGATATTTGCGCTATGTCCATAGGAGCACTATTAACAATAACCAAGAGTGGAAGCAACCCAAGTGTTCGTCAACGGATGGATGGGTGAATAAAAGGTAGCATATATATATAATAGAATATTATTCAGCTTCATAAAGGAAGAAAATTCTGACACATGCTACAACATGGATGAACCTTGAGGACATTATGCTAAGTGAAATAAGCCAGTCACAAAATGACAAATATTCTGTGATTCCACTTATAGAATACAAAAAGTATCTAGAGTAGTCAAACTCATAGAAACAGAAAGTAGGATGGAGGTTGCCAGGGGCTGGGGGAAGGGGGGAAATGGGGAGTTGTTTTTTAATGGGTACAGAGTTTCAGTTTTGCAAGATGAAAAAATTCTGGAGATTGGTTGTATAACAATGTGAATATACTAAGACTACTGAACTGTATGCTCAGAAATGGTTAAAATGGTAATTTTTATGTTATGTGGGTTTTGCCACAATTACAAATTAGGGGGAAGGAAAGGAGACTTCGCATTAAAATCTGGATTTGCAGGTTCTCTTGACAAAGCAGAAATGTGGCAATCCAGCACCTGCGTGGAGAGCCCCTGCTCTTTGTCCCCTTGGACTGCGTATGCTCTCTCTCTTTCCTGACTTCCATCGTGCTCACTACTCCCTTTTGCCTTCTCTGCAGCAAGACTGGTTTCAGTGGCCCTTTTTTGTTGTGCTTGTATAGATGCTATGCTCAGATTAAAGAGGAAGGCAAACTAAATCTTGTATTTATGCTTTTATTAACATTTTTCTTTTACCTGGCTTGCTTTTTCATTAATGTTACCCTTTTGGTCTCTAAGGACACACAGACCTATTGCTCTTAACCGAAGGCTACTTTTTAGTAGGAAAGTGTCAAAGAAAAGAGCATGAAATGCTCAATGGAGTCTTTGGCTTGATTTTATGCTAAATGTGATTTTTTTTTTAAGCCAACATGCTTCCTGTGGCAAAATTCTTGATAATCAAAGCATGAAACTGCCTTCAGTGCTCAAGTGAAGCCAGGTGTGTCCCTGGGCACTTAGCAGAGGGGATCTAACCGGGTGCAGTTTAGTGAACATGCTCTTAGCGTGGAGGCAATAGCAGCAGCCCC